ATCGCGTGTGAGCAAAGATATTCGATGGATTATAATAAGTGATATCTCACCATGTTGACAAAACTGACCAACAAATCCCTTAGCACAATCACAGACAAAGAATTTTCCCATCAAGTCGCAGCTTTTTCGCAATAATCCACCATTAAGACACGGCTGATCTCGGCCCTAAAGGATATATCAACATGGCTAGCATATTCTGTAATGGCTTGATTTGAGTCCACAAATTTAATAGATTCAGGAGTTAACACTATTATTACTGTCCTACTGTCCCTCACATGGGCCATTTGGTTTTATAACATAGCTACATTCTAACGCGGACTCGGCTGATTGGCTTATATTTAGGGAAAAGAAATGGATGGTTTGGAGGGTCGCGTGACCTAACTGTGAGCGCGTCAGGCCCCGGATCTAAGGACCTAACTGGCTGCTTGTCGAAATTCCGGATAACTTAACGGGTCCGAAGCCATATTTCAAAATCTCAATGAGCGGGATAGTAGAGCGGGTCAAAAGCCAATAATTTCTCTAACATTTACTGATATTTTATTGTTTAAATATCAAAACTTTATAAGTCGACGGGATAAGTGTCAATTTCTATGTATTTTCGGGCGAGCGTAGGCAAACATAAGGCAGAAGTGAAAAAAAGCGTGAGGGGCGACTTACGCGCGGGAAAACAAGCGCAAAGATAAACTCCTGAATGCGCGTGTATTACCCTTCACGCCTTTTCTCGCGCTCGCCTCGCAATTACTTGCATTCGCCTCGCGCTCGCCTTTATTTTTCCGAAAAACGCTGGAAGAAAGAGAAGCGTGCTGCAGGCTAAGGTTGAATTACATACGAATTTTCGCATATTTTGATTTTCATGTATGAAGCCACTAAACTGCTTTTCCTCTTTGAATGGTTGACTGTCCACCACTGGCTACCCCCAGCATTTGGCTACCCCTGGGTGGAGAGAGAGACTCTCTGAGCGTAAATGTTCTCACAAAATACTGAATAACGGAGCTGGGGTTGAAACCTCCATAGGGCCCATTCCGGTAATATCGATCCCATAAAGCTCAGTAATATCCGCTGGTCGTGTGTATATTCAAGATATCAATAATAACGATCCATGTGCAATGCTCAGCGAAGTTTAAAGTAACCTGCTATCATATTTTGAGGAAAAATGTTAAGTTCCGCTCAAACGTCGCAAAAATTAAGAATACTTGTACCTGAACTCTGTAGCCGGTCATAAGATCATAATACTGAGATCCGTGTAGTGCTTTCATTGAGCCAGGCCTTTGAAATCTGTCCTCTTTATTCAGCTGGCAGTTGTCTCTTTTAACATTTGTTAGAAAGTTAAAAGAAACGCACTGGCAATTTTGCTGACATTCTAACCAACAACTGAACTGCCCTGTCACCGAAACATTTTCAAAAGTGTATCCAAATAGGGCGTAGCCTTCGACCGTTTCCCCTCCAGTAGTGAAAGCGGATGTGACAGAACATGGTGTGCTGGTATCATGGCCACACCCCATAGTTACTACAGCAATAGTTAATACAGCAGTCACGGATAATGGAATGATGAAGCCACAAAGATACTCTTGAGAGGTTCTCCTGGTATATAAATTATTAGGACTTTGTTGGTTAGTACATACGGATGAACTATTGAAACAAACGTCATTTACATCGAGAGACGATCAAATTTTGAAGCAGGTTACTTCAAAGTAACGTAGGCATTTGCTTTCGGAATATTTCGGTATACATATTGTATCAAGATACTTACATCTTAACTCCGAAGCTCAGTTTTGGGAAAGCGTCTGAACTTATGTGGAAATTTTCTCCTTGTTCATCTTCAGGCGACAAGCCTCCGCTTCAAACAAGAATGATAGCAAGAAATTAAAAGCGATTTCAGAGTGTGAGAACCTTTACACTTGCACTCTGTAACAAATTAGGAAATATCTTAGTTGGTGGTTTCTCCTGCGATAAATGCTTAGACAAGGGATTTTTTTTGCATTATAATAGACTTCGTGGCAAATTAAAGGAAATGATGAAAAAGGAGAGAGCGATTATCTCACAAACTATACCCTCCCTTCCTGAGGATATGCAATCAGAGAGTGTTGGATACGTAGAGTTGAAAACATAGTTTTTTGTTGAACAATTTATCCAGCGTTGTTTGAACGGGGCTTGGGTCTGACTTCGATAGTACCCACTGGTAATTCGGTCAGAAATTGTTCATGACCCTCTCTTAATTGAAGCCTGTAAGATTTTTAAAGGTTGAAATCGGTTTGATTCCTTATAGCGTTAATTAATATGACATTTTTAAAGATATTATTTGCGAAGAGCTTTATCTTAGTTTCGTCTGACATTTTAGCATGCAGGATTAGTGTTACAAATAAACCTAGAATCGTGGGAACTTAATCAAGTAAAATACCATTTTAGGGTTAATCGCTCGATCCGGCGAGTACAGTTACTGTAAATGATGTTTAATATTACCTTCATGTTCGCCTTCTTCCCAACATCAGAATTTATTTCCGTCTAAAAGCAATTTCATCCTCAAGCACAGTCAGACGCAGGTCTTTAATTGGCCCTGTTTTAATTTTTGCAAACAAGTTCTAATGCAGTGCAGAGCATTTTCTGTAAGGAGTATGAATAATTGATTATTGCCACCCTAACAATACCTATCGAAAATCTCCAAAATTAAAAGCAAGGAGGACTCACAAAGATAGATTGAAAGACCGATCCATTCGATTACGGTGATTAAATGATTTTCGAGAATATGCGTCGACTTTTCAGAACTGAACAACTTGCAGATTCTGGGAATTTTAAAGAGTATGTTCTGTTTAATTTATTTCTTTTCAAGCTGTTTCATTTAAAATCTTTATACATCTCTCTTATTAGAAAGGTGATTCAGTTTCTATTCATTCATTTTTCTCCAGTCTGGTAGTTGAAAAGAAGTAACTCGCAACTGAAACAAGGAAAGTGTTTTTTTGTAAACCTTTTAATTTTTGTAATTTCAGGATTATCACGTACCAGAGACCAGCCCACAGCAACTTAATTGTTTAAATTGCCTAAGCCCATGACCGTTTTCGTATAATTATTCAGGCTTTCTTTAAGGATTGGTTATTCAAACAAAATTTAGCTGTTACTTAAGAAAACCATGTCCTAGACTATTCTCGAGTTAGCTGGATCTTTAATCTGAACATTTATTGTTATGAACAGAAGCTGACAGAGTAAGGATATTTATTAAAATAAATCAACCCTCTTATAGAGAAGTCTGAGACCTACTGATAACTTAATACCGTGCGGTTTGGATTGGACTTCGTGAAAGAAACCGGCCCTCGGAGTTACTCAGTATCAAATAATATTTCCTTTTGTTTAGCGCGACTCCTGGCGATGTCCTTTCGCGCCTTACAGTGTATAGTAAATAAATTTAATTAATTATAAAAAATGGAGGGAAATGTCTTACAGGCGAAAGGTCAAAATTTAGTAAAATATCTCATATATCTCTTATTAAAAAGCTTATCTAAAAGGTCTAAAAAGATAAGTCATAAATTTTTCTCCAGAACATTCAGATCTTAACGGTGCATTACTTTACAGTGAAAAAACGACGACGCAACTTCCTAAGAAGTGGACATAAAAATTGCTCCAGAGGACAAAATTTATACCCAAAATCTGACATATTACTCGATATAATTACATAAAATCACGCAATGGTTCAAACATCAACCACAAGTACGCGATACAACTACTGAAACGTTAAAACACTCGCAGGAAATTCAGGCGCAAACGCAATACACACAGAAAACAATGACAATAAGTTTCGCGATAACGATGCATCACAGGCGATGATATTATTTCATCATGACACTCGTGTTCGTCATTCCAGCATTGCGTACAGTGAAACGGAATTAATGACCGTCAATAAAGGTTTGCCGAAAGCCTTCGTTACTCGTATATCTTGGTAGCCAAACCATCAGGGCTTTCAAACTGTGGTACGTGACTGCTGATTGCTCCTCAGTGACACTACACACTCTTGTACGGTGAATGTCGCCTCAGTTAAAGTTGTACATGAAAGACAATTAAAACATATTTTTCTTTTGAAGTAATATTTTTTATATCCAGAAACGAACTTTCAAACTGTGTTGAGGTCTTTGTATTTTTTATTTTATTTCATTACGATTCTTTTATAAAAATATAGGGATCCACAGGTTTCACAGGTTCCACAAGTTCCACAGGTTCCACGGGTGCCACGGGTGCCACGGGTGCCACGGGTGCCACGGGTGCCACGGGGGCCACGGGGGCCACGGGGGCCACGGGGGCCACGGGGGCCACGGGGGCCACGGGGGCCACGGGGGCCACGGGTGCCACGGGGGCCACGGGTGCCACGGGTGCCACGGGTGCCACGGGTGCCACGGGTGCCACGGGTGCCACGGGTGCCATAGATTTAACAGTTCCAAATTAATAATTTTACAGTTCCAAATTCACAATTTTATAGGTTTTGCGGTTGCTGATCCTCGGTTTATCGACACCCTTACTCGACACGCAGCTTAATGAGTCACTGATGTTAGATGGTTTTGACTTCATTTAACCAAAATCGCACTGAATCGATTTAAAAACCATCACCTGGCGGATGGACGTTTTAATTTTGCACCAGTCCGTCGCCACCTCGTCACGCCATCTTCCTTCAACTTTATTGGAAAGCATTTCTACACGAGCATCCATCCATTCGTACATACAGAAATATGGCCTTTGTTAAAATCGTTCTTTGGTCATGTCTGGGGGCTGTCCTCGGCTACTTTGCCATCCAAGAGTTCACAGTGGTCACCGAAAGCTTTTTAGTACAGAAGCTTATACCTGCTAAGAGGAAGGATGTTTTCGACCTGCTGATCAATCCAGATTATATCTTAAAGTTTCACCCCTTGTGGTAAGTTACTGGTAATTAAGAAAATAGAGCATTAGAAAAAACTTTAATTGTAAGTGTATGGGCCACTTTGTTCACCTTTTTAACGAGATAGAGGTGAGTTCGATCCCCTGAACAGATATGAAAGATTTGCATCACAAGCGAAATCACCACAGCGACAAAGAGTAGAGTACAATCAACAGCGACATTGGCGTTTTAAAAATAAGATAGCGACTTGCAGTGCATTCGGGTAGAGGAAATTGTGTTTTACAATATAGTAAAACTTAGTAAAAGTTATCTTGATTCAACGCCAAGTTCTCATGACTGATTTACAAAGAAATGTGAAGCAGCTAGAGAGGAGAATCAACAATTAAATCTTGGGAGTTAAAGGGTTAAAGGACAAGAATGCACTCTCTTAGATACATCCTTACTCACTACTGACTGATGTTTCCACACTTAGAGTGGAAGTTATCTTCAGAGGAGAACTGGTGTCATCTAATGGAGAGAGGATCTTGGAAAGCAGTCTGGATCTGATTGTTAACAGTTTAATATCATTAAAATTTAACCCTATCACTCCCAAGATCTCATAAGTAATTCTCCTTACTGTCTGCCATACAATTCTTATGATGTTAGTTTGGAAAATTTTCTTTTGGATCAACACACAATACCCTGTTTGATGTTTTCTTTATACTCATTACTTGTTTGCTTGGCAAAGTATTGATATTGTTGGGAGAAATTCTGTCTCAGTCACTCATGGGAGTTGAAAGGGTTAAAACCAGCATTCTGACTTCAAAGTTTTGCTAAAGAGGGAGAGCTCAGTCTTCCTCTGTCACATCTTCAAATACTCAGCACATTTTTTTCTTCAATTTCAGTGTTGGTATCACCAATGTTACAACATCACATGGAAGGGATGGAATGAAAACTGTTCAGTTTGTTGTTACTGAAAAAACAGCCATTTCATTAGGGTTTTTTGAAATCAACCAAAACATCACTTTTCCTGTGAATGAGACAGTCATAGAGGAAAATGCAATAATTGAATACAGAGCCTTACTGATGGGTGGTTATTTCACACTAAAACAGAGGTGGAAGATGGCTGATTATACCAGTGGAAGTGGAGATAAAATTAGTTCATTAGAGGATCATTTTCAGGTTACTTCCTTTCGTATTTTGTTACGATATTCCATGAAGGTAGCATTTGGAGCACACAATACCATTACTGAAAATATCATACAGCATTTCTTAAAGGAAAGCAAGGAGTCAAATGACAAGAGTGGCTGACAACTGAGA